TTTTGGTGGTTCCCATGCCTTTAGATATCCGTCCATTTCTTCTAGGTTTTCCAATATAGTATTATATAGGTTTTTAGAGTATTCCCTTATAATGTTCTGTATCTTTCTGGTGTCTGTTGTGATGTTTCCCCTTTCATCTCTGATTTTCTTGATTTGGAGGTGCTCTTCTTTCTTTTGGTCAACTGGACTAGTGGTCTGTCAATCTTGTTTATCTTTTCGAAGAACGAGCTCTTGGATTCATTGATTCTTTATATTGTTTTCTTTGTTTCAATTTCATTAATTTCTGCCCCATTGTCAGTCTTCATGAAGAAGACACTCTGGTTTCTCTTCAGATTGTATAAATATTTCAGCTTTTCAATACCTTGAAGACTCTGATGTGCTGCTGCTCTGATTGCATTTCTCCCCTTCCTTCTTAGGGGTAACTAGCTCTTCAGGATTTTTGTTAATGCTTTTCTTTCTTTTTTCTCTTTTGTGTTTTGTTTGTCTGTTGCCCCAGCTAGCCTGCAACTTGCTATGTAGACCAGGCTGGCCTTGATTAAGGATGTGTGCCACCATGCGCAGCCATAATGGCTTTGTAATTCATCTTTCCTTTATAGATTGCTGTTGTGGCTGTGATGTGCAAACCCCACAGATGTCCACACATCAGTTTTACAGGGAACATATGTGTGTAAGTATGATGATTAATAATATTGCATGCATTTTAGTTGACCTGGTAGGTAAATTCCCTAATGTCTTAGTAGTACAGACTAGAAACATTTAAAACTTTGATTAAATAGATTCATGTTTGTTCTCTGAAACAAGCAGCCATTGGAATTTCAGTGCTTTTAAAGTGGAACACACATGTTGCAATGTTAAAAAGATATGTAGGTTATAAACTCAAAACAGTAAACATGGAGTTAACTGGATAAATTTACATTGAAATATGAGCTTCCTGAATTCCAGTGTCAAATTCAAAATGAATTTGGACCAGAAAAGTATCAAAATAAGAAGGTTATTCTTATAAATACATGTTAGATATCTGGAAGAATTAGTGGACACAAAGGCATGACTTCACATAGGAAGATTAAAGGGGGGCAGGAGAAGGGTTCCCAAGTATGGGTCCCAGGAAAGCATGAAGTCAGTCCAAATGGGAAAACTGTTGTTTTGGTGCCTGTTGTTAAACCTGTAAAATAACTAATGTTCTGAAAATGAATGTCATCTTGTTCCTTTGCTCGGTTTTCTTGTTTGCTTATTGGTAAACAGTGATCTATTTGTAGCCACTGCAAGGGTAGACGTTGTTTGAATTGAAAGTGAAGCCTCTTTGCTGGGATTTGGGGGACTGTAGATACCCGAGCTACACAAGTGAGCCAAGCCTCCCTGCCCTGACCCCCCTGCCCTGTCATTGCATCTGCAGGTACTGCCCTGGAGGACCAGATTCAGATTTTGAGTATTCAACCCAGTCTTACACTGGCTATGAGGTAAAGTCCTTTGCAGGTATCTGGGAAGATGTCATATCACATTCCATGCACAGTGTGGCATTACAAGGACTAGCACTGAAAAGTTCGAGTTTGTACTTTCCTCCTGATTATAATAGCTGTTTGTCACATACTTGTTGTGTGTCTACTAGTACCGTATCTTAGTCAACACTGGAGAGATCCTGGCGTGAGCATTTACTACCAACATATCCCAAACACTGTCCTAGTGCTTTACACCTTCAAGCCTTACAGCAGTGTTTAGCCGACAGACAGTGTGATTACCCCAGTCTTATGGTGAGGAAACTGAGGCACAGAGGCTTAAACAGCTGGCAGGGAGAGATAGTCAGTGGCAGCTGCTGTGCCCACTGCACTCCAGGGGTGTTGTTCTTCAGCATGAAGAGCCAGCATTTACATTCTAACAAGAGAAGAAGGTAAAGAGCCAAGCAAGAAATACCAGATCATAGCAAATGCTAGGCAGAGAGGCGAAGCTGAGTGTGGTAAGGACAGATGGGAACCCTGAGCCTTGGTCAGGAGGGACTCTCTAAAGGGTGACTGACTCTTGATGGAAAAAGGAGTGAGTCACAAGAATGTCAAGAAGGCTCATTCCCAGGAGAGAACAGCTCAAAGAAAGGGCCGAGGTAGGAAGGAGGGTGAGGTGCTCTGGTACATAGTGGGAGGGGGAGGGGGCAGTTGGAGAGGAACTGAGGGAGGGGTTGTGAGTCAGAGTAAGGAGTCTTCACTAGGGGTATCTGCAGAAGCCAGTAGGTTTAAAGCAAGGGGCCATTCTGACAGTCGTGTGGAAAGGAACTGGAGTATAGACAGAAGGCCAGGGAGCAGCTTTGGGAGGAATCTGGACATTCAGAAGGGGTCAGATACCAACAAGTCACATGACTTTTTCTTCTTGGATATGGCTTTTATTTATTTATTTTTTTCCTGGTTTCTGTCATTTAATTTTTTACTTAAAAAAAAAATTTTGTTTATTATTTTTATTTTATGTGTCTGCGTGTATTCCCTGCATGTGGGTAAGTGCACCCAGGTCGTGCAATTCCTGCAGAAGACAGAAGAGGCTGTCGGATCCCCTGGAACTGGAATTACAGACAGTTGTTAGCTGTCATGTGGGTGCTGGGATTCGAACCCAGGTCTTCTGCAAGAACAACCAGTGTTTTTAACCGCTGAGCCATCTCTCCAGCCCCAATTTTTTTACTTTTTTTTAAAAAAAATTATTTTTATTTTAATTTTATATGTGTGAGTTTGCCTGCATGTATGTAAGTGCACCTGTACATGCAAACCTGCAGAGGCCAGAAGAGGGCATCAGATCCCCTGGAATTGGAGTTATGGATGGTTGTTAGCTGCCATGTAGGTGCTGGGAACCAAACCTAGGTCCTCTCAAGAGCAGCCAGTGCTCTTAACTACTGAGCCATCTCTCCAGCTCCAATTTTTTACTCTTTAAGATACAAAGTAATGTATCAAAACAGCTCCCTTCCCCATTGATTGGTTGGTTGGTTGGTTGGTTGGTTGGTTGGTTGGTTGGTTGGTTGGTTGATAGATTGAGGTTTCATTGTAACTCAGGCTGGCCTTAACTTTTGGTAGTCTTCCTGCCTCTGCCTCCCAACTACTAGGATTATTGTTGTGAGTCACCATGCCTGACCTTTTATAGCATACCTCAAAGAACCTTGTGTGCCAGTATACCATGTCATTGTTGTCGAGAACTCCACTATGTGATGGTAGCATCAAGACTGTTAAGTCATTACAAGCCGTGTGTAATACCTTGTTTAAAGGCCTTTTGGGTGTCTGTGTGCATCTTTATGATAGGTAGAACACTTTAGATGCCATCACATGTCCACAGAATGTAAATGTGAGCCAAGAAGACAGGTACCCTTGGACATGGGGGTGGGGCTAGCCTGAACCCTGGTGAGACTGAGAAAGGAAGGAGGCTGCAAGGCAGGTTTTGGTATCCCAATGCTGAGAACTCTCGTTTTCACACAGCCTTCACTACCTCAGTGCTCTTCTTTTTTAACTTGATCTGGATGTAACAGAATGTTTTTTTTTTGTTTGCTTAGCCAACTTCCATGCGAGCCATCCGAGCTAGATACGACCCTTATCTACAGACAAGACACCGGATAGAACAGGTAAAATTTTCAAAGTTTTCTTAAAATAGTTTTTATACTTAATAATAATATGTCATTCCTTGATTTGAATCCCTTGTGAAATAAGAACAAAAAGAGTATTTTTCCCCCTTAGTAAGTTTTTTGTGTTTTGTTGTTGTTGTTGTTGTTGTTGTTGTTGTTTTGTCTTTTTGAGACAGGGTCTTCCTGTAGCCCCAGTTGTCCTGGTACTCACTATGTAGGCCAGGCTGGACTTGAACTCATAGATATCCCCCTGCCTGGATTAAAGGCGTGCGCCACCACGCCTGGCTTCTTAGTAAGTTTTAACTTGTCTAAAGGAGACTTTCACAGTGCCTTGCATGGTCAAAACTCATGTACTCTCTAGAGACTGTTTTCTTTAAGGGGTGTGTGTGTATGTGTATGTGTATGTCCGTCCAGCAAAAGGGTTTTGTGTTCTTTGTTCTTCTGGTTTGAAGGAAGTCACTTAGGAACATGTGTAAATTAGGTTTTAGTTTCCATAAGCCTAGGTCAGGAAGCATTGTGCTGGTTTCTCAGTGGGGTAGGGACTGACAACAGAGTGCTTGGGGAACTCTCAAGACTGTCTTGTTCTATGCTGGTGGTGCTGGTGCTGACAGAACTCAGAACTCACCAGTTGTGCCTTAAAGTTAGTGGATTTTATTGCCTAGAAATTATACATTGATGTAGTTGAGTAAAAACAGCGTGTAAATGACCTTGAACATACTGTCTTTGATTATACTTGTCCAACTTTTCAAATGGAAGCGCATTCATTTTTGTTACAGTAATTAACTTATAAATACAAAATTGAAAAATGAAAGGTACGTGAAGCGCAGCAAACAAGCTTCTGGGTTTATGTAACTATTAGCGAATACTACCCAGTTCTGATGATCACTTCACTGTCACCCCAGAACGTGTTTGCTTTGATTCCCTGCAGGAGGAAAGGACTCCACCTGGGAAGCCCACATAGCTTGGAAAAACATGTTCTAAAATGACCTCAGCCATGATATTTAACTCATTTAAAATGTGGAGCTAAGATGGGTATGGTGTTGCATACCTTTAATCCCAGCACTCTGGAGGCAGAGGCACACGAATCTCTGTGAAATAGAAGGTAGCCTGGGCTACATCGCGAGTTCCAGGCCAGCCAGGGTTATAGAGAGTCCTTGTATCAAAAAGCCAAAAATAGATTAATTAATTAAAAATTTTAAAATGTAGAACTATGTTTAGGGTAAATATTTATGCTTACAAAATAGAGGACTGCCGGGTGTTATGTCACAGGCCTTTAATCCCAGCACTTGGGACACAGAGGCAGGCAGATATCTGTGAGTTCAAGGCCAGCCTGGTCTATATAGTGAGTTCCAGGCACTGGGGCTACAGAGAAACAAAAAGACAAAAAACAGAACAAAATAGAGGGCTCTGTGTAGATGTGAGGAAACTAGCCTGGAATAATTTACAGTTCTACTCTAATTGCAAGTGCACTAGACTCATTGGAGAAACTTATGGCTTTGAGCCAATCCCCACCTCTGGAAGTGCTGGTATCTTGTCTGGTTTAGAGGGGGCGGGGGGGGGTCGGTCTTTTTAAGACAGCTGACCTGGAACTCACAAAGATCCCCCTGCCTCTGCCTCCGAGCATGTCTAGCTGTTTAAAGTTTTTGAAAAGCTCTCAGGATGGTTTTGATGTGTATTCTTTATAAACAGTTATGGACAGAGAAGAACTCTTTTAGTGTTGATGTATGGATACATGTACACTTAGATACACATACATCTAATACAAATTGTTACTGGCCATTTTCAGAAACAACTATTTTAAAACAGTTCCATTTTTGTATAGTTAGTGTAGACATTCTTTACATGATCTATATTTTAAAGATTTATTTATGTATACATATGTATGCCTGCGTGAGTTTATGTGCACCACATGCATGCATGTGCCTGTGGAGGTCGGAAGCTGGATCCCCTAGAACTGGAGTTACAGGTAGCTATGAACTGCCTGATGTGGGTGCTGGGAACCAAACGTGGGTCCTTTGGAAGATCAGTAACTTCTCTTAACCACTGAGCCATCTCTCCAGCTCCATCCACACAGTATATCAATTCTAGTTGTTAACATGGTGTTTGACCCTGGCTTCCTCAAGCTTAATATACAGCAAAAAAAAATTAAATATTTGTTTTTCAAAATTAGAATTTTGGCTTATTTTAGTTGACATAGTAGAAGATTTGTGCAATTCTTTCCTGTAGTAGAGGGGACGTAGTATTTAATTTCTTAGTGCTTAGACATCCATTTTGTTTGGTTTTGAAGAAGGGGGTGGGGTTAAGGGCCTGTGTCTAATTTTAAGCTGCTTTTTTTTTTTTTTTTAGTCTTTTTGAGATAGCATCTCCCTGTAGATCCAGCTGGACTGGAACTCACAGACCTGCCTGCCTCTGCCTCCCAAGTGCTAGGATTCAAGTGTACATCACCATGCCCGGCTCTTAAGCTACATTCTTGACTTTTCTTTCTAACCTAGCTTTCTTTCTGTCTACCTTCATAAAGTCCAGGTTATGCTTCATAGTCACAAAGTCTGACATACAATACGAGTGATGAATATTTACTATATTGGATATTACATTATATTGTTCTTATATTTATTATATCGTACATTTCCTATTTTCTGCCTTTCTGTTTTTAAATTCCTACTCTGTTGATATTGAGCTACTGGTTTGGTTTTAAATCTCACTCTCCCTTCTTATTTGAGCAATAAATGTTTTCTTTGAGATTTTTTAAAAAGACTTATTTTTATGTGTATTTGTGTGTGCCTGCGTGAGTTATTCATCATGTGCCTGTGAAGGCCAGAGGGCTTCAGATCTCCTGGAACTAGAGTATGGAGGGTTGTGAGCCCCCTATTGTGGGCACTAGGAACCGAACTCAGGTCCTCAGCGGACCAACAAGTACCATTAACTGCTGAGCCATCTCTTCAGCCATCTTTGAGACTTTTTTTTTTTTAATCTACAGAATTACCAAAACATGCTTCTCATTTTTAAACTATGCTAGTGAGACTACGGAATAAAAATAGAAATTGCCAGTACCCCCGAGTGGCTGCAGTGCCTTTCTAATGCTGATGATGTGTTTTTCTTTCAGTTAAAACAGCTTGGTCACAGCGTGGATAAAGTGGAGTTCATTGTGATGGGTGGAACATTTATGGCCCTACCAGAAGAATACAGAGATTATTTTATCCGAAATTTACATGATGCCCTATCAGGACATACTTCAAACAATATTTACGAAGCTGTCAAGTAAGAAACCCCCTTCACCCACACTCTGAAGTGGTTGTCCCTTTATCTCCTAGCAGTAGCCTGTGAGGTTCCTTTCTGTTCCACATGAATGTTCTGAATTTCTTGTATTCTTTGTTTTTTAGTGGGGAAAAAAATGATTTTTCATTGAACCAGTCCTTTAGGAAGAAGCAAATATGTTCTCCTGGCATAGTGCCTTCTCTGAAAGATTCACTAGCTGTGGTCTGTAGATCTTTTCAGACTTGGGCTGATCCAAACTGTCCAAACTAGGACTAGTTTTAACTGGCCTAGTTGAGTTTTCAGTCCACCCGCCAAGAAACCTGGGTATTTTATTAGTGAGAGAGCAGGAAGAAGGACACGGGCATGCCATGTGGAGTCGGAGGACAACTTTCAGGCATCAGTTCTCTCCCACTCTGGGTTCCGGGGATCAAACTCAGGTCATCAGACTTCACTTGCAAGCACTTTTATCCTCTGAGCCATGTCACCAGCCCAGGACTGGATATTCTTTGTCAGAAACATTTAGCTGATGTAAAATCATTAAAACAATTGATTATTTTAAATTTTGTAATTTACTAGTAACTAATAACTACCAAATAATTTTATTTATGAGTAAGTGGTTTGTCTTAGTCAGTTTTACACTGCTATAGCAGAACACCTGAGCCTGAGTAATTTATAATGCACAGAAAATTACTGTCTCGTAATTCTTGGGATTGGTAAGTCCAGTAGCAGGGTGCAGCATTTGGCAAGGGTGTAACTGCCAAGGAGTTGGAGTTTTATATGAAATGCAGAAGGAAGTAGATTGTTTGAGGGGTAGGAGTGATACATTCTGATTAATAAGGAAGGCCATTTGGGCTAATGGATTAGAGGGTTGCAAGAGTAAACGTAAGAAGCCTAGAGGCTTCCTTGTTGGCCTTGGCTCAGACAAGGGGGTGGTAATGGTGATGGAGAAGAGGCAGGTTGGGGGAAGGAAGGCCAAGAATGACTCCCATCTATGTGGAGGGTAATGCCATATGCTGAGATAGAAAAGCGCAGGGAAGCTCGGGTTTGGGGCTTGAAATGCCTCCAACACGTTCACAAGAGATGTCTGACAGGGTACAGACCCAGGAAATCTCAGCTGGTGGTACACATTAAGGACTGTCAGCTCATGAGTGACATCAAGGGCTGAGATCACCTAGTGTGAGAGTTTCACGTCCCGAAGGTATGATACCCAAGGGAAAAGGCAGTGTGTGTGTTGGTGGTCACAGGCCTGTTAGAGCTGAGGGAGAAAGAAACCAGGAGCCAAGGAGATGTTTACATTTGTGTATGTACAACACACCCGGCATCGTGATAGGTGTTTGATTCACTTAATACAGTAGCCTTTGAGTTCGGCGTTCAGGTCACCTCTGCTTTACATATGAGGAATCTAAGGCACAGCAAGACAAAGCAGTTTGCCCAAGCTTATATAGTCAGAGTGGGAATAGAAACTCCAGGAAACTTTGTTTTCAGAACCTTAACTTTGCCATGATGCTAGTGACTATTGGTGTGGAAACTGCCCTGAGGGGAAGGTTATTGTAGAAAGGGGTGCTGTGGATTGTATGTAGATCATCAGAACTTGAAGATGTTGAAAGGAATGTAGACTTGTCTTTCTGAGGCTCCTAGCACCATCAGGCTTGTCTCTGGCTTCTGTGAAAGGAGAGGAAAAGGTCACAGCCCACTTCAAGGTGGTTGAAATGTGCTGCCTCTAGAGATTTGTGTGCTGATAAGTAGGAGTGGACTTAAGGTTGGCTTTACTGTGGCTAAAACCTAAGTAAATACATGAATGGACTCTGAACGAATATCAGTCTATATCATCAAATATTGGCAGAAATGACCTGGGAGGAGGGGTTACCTCGGAATTGAGGTAGTACCTCCTTGTGCAGGCCCTACTGCTCCTGTTGCTCTCCTTCAGGTTTGTGGAAATGAAAAGTAAAAAGGAGCTTTTTCAACAGTATTGATAAAGGTCAGGGATAGCGTGAGAGGCTGCATAAAACGGATTCAGTTGCTGGTGAATGTGCAGTGAGCAAGTACATCTGTTTGATTGACAAATGAATGTGACACATGAATCTTTGTCCCTGACTTGAGACTTTTAGGAGTGTGACTTTTGGGAGTGTTGACTTGGTAGTTGAATGAGATGGTGTCTATTTTTACTGCTTGTTTAAAACCTTAATGGTTCATAAGTATGAGTCATGCTTAGTAGACCCTGAAGTTTTCACACTTCAGAGGAGCAATGATATAAATCCAACTCACCCCTCTTATGAAAAAGTCAGACTACAACTTAAATAAATTGTGATTTCAGGGAGCAACATTCATTAGTTCAAAGCCCAGGACACTGGAATGGTAGCAGAGCCTGGAGGGTTACTGACTGGAATTGATGCCACTCTGAAAACCCCCAGCAGGGTGAGCTGTCGAGACCATTCACCTGAGGTTGTCCTCTGGCCTCCTTACACATGTACACACTCACCCCACACACATTAAAAACGTAACTGTGGCTGGCAAGATGGCTCAGCTGTGGCACATAGTTTTAATCCTAGCATTCTTTCAGTGAGAGGGGAGGCAGAGATAGGAGAATTTCCTGGAAGCTGGGGGGCAGCTAGCCTAGAGTAGCCAACACAACACAGAAACAGCAGAGAAATAGCCTCAAACTATGGAGCGAACCGAATTCTGAACGTTGTCATCTGACCTCCATGTGAGTCCTGTGGCATGTGCACATCTGAACTCACATGCACACACAAATATTATACACGCACAGAATAATATACTTTTAAAATAAGTAAAATACTTTTTAAAAGATTAAATATAAATTCGAGCATGGTGGTGCACGACTTTAATCTCAGCACTCAGGAGGCAGAGGCAGGGGGATCTCTGTGAGATCCAGGCCAACTGGGGCTACACGGAGATCCTGTCTCAAAAAAAAAAAAAAAAAAAAAAAAAATTTCATTAAATACAAATAAATTTTGTGAAATGTGTGCAGAAGTGTTCTGGTGCCTACTAGCATTTAACCATAACTTATCTGTTTTTTTGATGAAAATGCGATCACGATGTGTTTGTCCAAAAAGCATGTGAGAGAGGAAAGGCTCTCAGTGATGACTGCACAGGGCCAGCACTGCTCTCTTCTTGAATTTACCTCGAGAGGGCAACAAGCGCTTTGCTTTCAGACAAAAAGTGATCTACGACTTGAGTCTTCACTGCAGCCGGTCTCTTAAGAGGTGACGACGTGCAAGCTGGGAGCCACCAAGCCGTCCCGATGCTGCCCGTGGTCTGTGGCCCACACGGCTGCTGTCTCCTCCCCATGGTCTGCAGTATAAAAAATGCAGCTTTGTGGGCTCTTGTTTGCTTTGTCAAGGTACATTTTCAGTACAGGTCCCCGCAGTAAAGCATTTAGGGGAAATTCTGTGTTAGTTGAAGTAGTAGTCTACATTGGGCACGAGACAGAAAATCCTTCTCCAATTTAGCATCATTGTGAATTAAGGAGTGGCCCAGAAAACTGGTTTTGACATGATGTGTTCTCTGTGGGATTTCTGACTGACTGTATGGTTCTCTGTTATCCTGCACAGAGGGTATTTGAAAAGTAGCTGGCTCACCCAGAGCAGCCCAGCGCCACACACAGAGGGTCACTTCACTACTGTCCGTTAGTTATTTCTCCTCCTTACCACACAGTTGTGACTGACATTTGTTTGCCTAGTAAGGTGTTTTACAGAGGTTAATTTTAAACTAGGTTAAAAATTACAAGTAGTGGCAGTTGAGCCATCAGTGCTGAAAGTTAAGTGTTCTTAAGGTCAAGTTTTAATTAGCTCAGCTGTCCCTGCTGGTCTTCCTGTGTCCAGCCTGGTTTGCTTCTACTTAAAGGTTTGTTTCCTTATTATTTGTGTGTGTGTGTGTGTGTGTGTGTGTGTGTGTGTGTGTACCTGAGTGTGTATGTGTACCACATGCATGCAAGGGCCCTCAGAAGTCACTAGAGGGCAGCATCAGATCCCCCTAGTACTGGAGCTATAGGCAGATGTTAGCTGCTGTGTTGGTGCTGGGAGCTGAACCTGAGTCCTCTGCAAGATCAGTAAGCACTCAACCTCTGAGCCATTTCTCCAGACCCTGCTTCTTACTTAAAAGATTACAAGTAGCTGGTTGTGGTGGCGCACACCTTTAATCCCAGCATTTGGGAGGCAGAGGCAGGCAGATCTTCGTGAGTTCAAAGCCAGCCTGGTCTACATAGTAAGTTCCAGGAAAGTTGGGACTACAAGGAAACCCTGTTTCAAAAGATGCCAAAAAAAAAAAAAAAAAAGATTACAATTAGGGTAAAGAAAAGCCACAGCAGGGGGAGCCTGGCTGTTTGTGGCAAGTTTGTAGCAAATCACCTGTGATAGCATTGCCCGCAGGAAGTGAAGGAACACAGCAGGCCGCTCAAGGACAGAGCACAGGGTCTCTGTGAAAGCTCATCGAATCAAGCCTGGTGCTAATCGTTTATACCATCAGCTCAACTGAGCATCTCCAGGTCTCAGGAGACAAACAATTACTGGTGGCTGTTATCCCCTAAAAGAATCATAGCTCTGGAGATGAAAAGGACCATCGGTGGGATCTGAGTCACCCATCCACCAGAATGCGAATGTTGCCAAATAACTCAGAACAACCTTTTAAAAGAGCTTTATTCCTTTTTAATCAGCTCTGCCCAGAAGCACTTTTACATTCAGTGCTCCTCCGCTGTTTTCACAAGATGCAATTTAAAAGGGTAGTTACCCATCAAGAAGCGAGTGAGTCACACTCTCTCCCTTTGGAATTTTTAATTCATTTCCGTCCCTTCTTCCTTTCTCCTCATCAATGGCTTTAAATCCTCCAACTGTGTCCTTATGCGTCTTGGAAAATCTAGCGTGCTGGATAATGCTGGGTACCAGGCACCAAAGAGAATTCCATGTTCTTGCTGAGCTGTGGAGGAAGCAAAGGCAGCCTACTGAGGCCCAAAAGTGACTGAGCCCCTCCTGTCTTGCTGCCTGGGC